TTTTCTTGCTGAGTAGTATTCCACTGAATGGATATACTGCCATGTGCTCCCCTGCTCACCGAGTGATGGACATTTGGGTTGTCTCTAGTTTGGACTATTATGAATTAAGTAGTTATGTATATTCACGGATTAAGTCCTCGTGTAGCCATATGTTTTCATTTCTCTTGGTTAAATTTCTAGGAAAGGAATTGCTGGTTGATATGGTACGTATATGTTTAATTCATAAGAATCTCCCACACTGTTGTCCAACGTGGTCACGCCATTTTGCATTCCTGCCAGCAGGGTAAGAAAGCTCCTATTTCCCCCACATCCTCATTACTACTTGTTGTCAGTCTTTTTTAACTTTGTGTGATGTGATCTTTCCTTTTGCTTTAAACTACTTTTTTTTCCCCTACATTTTCTCCGCTAATCCCTCCAGTACATAGTTGCATATATTTTAGTTGTGGGTCCTTCTAGTTGTGTCACAAACTACTTTTGTAAACAAAGATGTAATGCATTCCACGTGTTAAAAATGACAATTGTACAAACAGTATATAATGAAATATAAGCCTTCCTTCTACTTTAGTTTCCATATCTCACTCTATTGAACTTTTAAACAAATTCTTACATATATTTCCAGAAATTATACACATACACAAACATACTCACTGTTACGAAGTGAATTGTATCCCCCCAAAATTCATATGTTGAAGGCTGAACATTCTTATCTTCAACTCCCTATGGGGGAGTTGAATTGCACTCCCCGATGTGATTATATTTGAAGATAGGGCCTTTGAGGTTAAATGAGGTCATAATGGTGGGCTCCTGATCTGATAGAATTAGTGTCCTTATAAGAAGAGACATGAGAAAGCTCACACACACTCTTTGCCGTATGAGGACGTGGTGAGAAGGCAGCGTCTGCAAGCCAGGATGAGAGCCCCCACCAGAGTCTGACTATGCTGGCACCCTGATCTCAGACTTCCAGCCTCCAGAACTGTGAAAAAATAATTTTCCTCTGTTTAAGCTACCCAATTTACAGCATTTTATTATGGCAGTCCAAGCTGACTAATACATACACACAAATGTAAATGCGTATAAATACATGGAAACATTTATGTGTATTTTTTTGGGAACATATTAAACATGCTCTTCTGCCCTTGCTCTTTTCCCCTTAGTGACTAAGGGCAGCTCCATGCCAGAATCCCTACCTCATTCTCTGGAGTCGCTACACCATAGCCGTTGTGTGAATATCCTGTAAGTGATTTTACTAGTGTCCTATTGCTGGACAGTTGGGTGGTTTCCAGGCTTTGCCACCACAGTGAATGTCTTTGTACACGTCTTGATCCCCATGTGGGGAGCATATCTATCTATAGGACCAATCTCTAGAAGCAAAATTTTATCAATATTTAGGTACACTATATCTCTTTTACTAAAAAGAAAAAAACTCCCTCAATAGCATCCCTCCCCATCTCAGCTACTACGTTACCTCCTTCCTCTCTTGCTGCTGAACTTTTAAAGCTGCTGTCTACACTAGCTGCCTCTATTTCTCCCATCTCGTACCTATCACACTACCTCCTTCTGTCTGCCTTCTGTCCCCCATGCCCACACACCACTGAGTCTTCACTGGCGAGTTAGAATGACTCCATGCCTAAACGCCCAATGGACATTTTACTAGATCCCCAGCAGCATTTGACAGTTGTCCCCTCTTCCTTTAAATGACCTCTTCCCTTAGCATCCATATTATTAGTCTTCCAGTTTTCTTCCTTTTTAATTGTTCTTTTCTTTTCTGTCTCTTGGCATTACATGCTTCTTTACCTGTCCTTAAATACCAGAGTTACTTGGGGCTTAGTTCTAGACTTACGTTTTTTTTTTTTCACTCTATTATCTCTCGTCCCATAATCTCATTCATTACCACTGTTTCAATGGCCATCCACATACCCGTGATTCCCAATTGTGTATCTCCAACCTAGATTTCTCCTCTGGAGTCCGGATTCATGTATCCAACTGCCTCCCAGAGACCTCCACTTATGTGTTTCACAGACATCTCAAACATAATATGCCCCTAATTGCAGTCCTGTTCTTGGTTTCCATCCACACCCCTTCCCCCGTCCCCCCATCTTGATAAAATTCACCCTCATCTACTCCATTTCCTTCACACCCACACCCAGCCATTACAAAGTCCCGTTGAAGTCTGCATCCTAAACATCTCAAAAGTGTATCTGCTCCTCTCTGTTTCCAGTGCCACCATCTTGGTTCAAGCCATCTTCATTTCTCACCTGGATTACTGAAATAGCCTTTTTCCCAGATCTCAGCGTCTGCTCTGGCCCTGTCAAAGCTATTCCCCTTGAATGCAGGCAGAACTATCTTTTCAGATGCAAAGCTGACATGTCACTCCACTGTCAGATGCTTGCTGTGCCTCCCCATTGGCCTGGAGCTGAGCTCCAAGAGTGGTTGGCCCCTGCCTTCCTTCCCAGGGTCAGCTCACTCGCTTCTCCCCACACCCAGCACGTCTTCTCTTAGTCCCTGATAGTGCCATGTGCTCTCTCCCCCAGCTTTCCACCCACATTGTCACCACTGCCTCAGAGCCTGCCCAGCTTCTCTTCATCGAAAAACATCCCTCTGCAGGAAGACCCAGGTGACTACCCACTCTAGTTTAGATTGTGCTCTTGTAACTCCCCATTCTTCTCCAGGTGGCGCTTACTTCCATTATAACAAAGTATTTGTATTCATCTTCTGTTTAATGCCTGACTGTCCTACTAGAATTATAAGCTCCAGGAATACAGAAACACTATAGATCTCAGGGGTTAGCAAACTGTTTCTGTGAAAGGCCAGATAGTAAATATTTTAGGGTTTGTGAGACATATAGTCTTTTGCAACTACTCATGTCTGCTGTGGAAGCATGAAAGCAGCTGGGGACAATACGTGAACAAATGAGTGTAGCTGTGTTCCAATAAAACTTTATTTATAAAAACAGGTGGTGGGCCAGATTTGGCTTGTGGGCGATAGTTTGTCCACCCTGATCTGTGTATTAATGGCAGTGCTCAGAGCTGGCAGTTTTGTAGCACCTGATCTAAGTGCTTTCCACATATTCATTCATTTAACGTTTTGAACGACCTCCTGAAGCAGATCCTGTCAGTGTCCTCCTTCGCAGATGAGACTGAGAGGGCTCAGTAACTTACCCAAGCACACCCAGCCACTGAGTCAAATTCTTCGTACCCGGGCAGTCTGGCTCCAGAGTGTGTGCTCTTCACCTTCTTGGTTGTCGAATGTATGAGCAAATGAGTGACCAAACACGATCAGAGTCTGAATATCTTGAGAAAGTGTAAAACACTACAGACGTTTAAAAGCTGTTGCAGATTTCTTGCAGCCAAAGTTCCCCTTCAGTTGGAACAGCAGCCAGGACACTGCGTGCACCCCCCTCCACCTGACCCCTCAGGCCCAGGTCTCAGTGTCCAGGCAGGGCCAGCGGGAGCCTGTCTGCCTGGCTCATTTCTCCTTTGGCCCGAACTCTTCTCGGAGGCAGTTTCAGAAGCGCGGAGCCCTGGAGCTCATCTGGAATTCCCACCCTACACCGGCACCTTTTGCTTAATTCTCTCCACCTTTGTCTAGTCCCTGAGTTTCTCCCTTATTAGCCGAGAGGCAGGAGAGTGAACAGGTTAAGACCTCAGGCTTTTGAGTCATATAGAGCAGATTCAAACTGAGCTTCTTTAGTCTCAGTTTTTACGTCTGTAAAATAGGGATACGAACAGTTACCTAACACTTAAGACAGCTCTGATAATTCAATGAGATCAAGCGTGTGCTCAGCAGTTCACCAATGCCCCTGGTTGTTGTTCTCACCATCCTCATACTTGGACACAGCAGGGCAGTGTGGGGCATCAAAATAACACAGGCTTTGGGGTCGGATGAAGCTGAATTCCAATCCGGTGTCTGCTCCTCACTAGCTATGAGACCTTATGCATGTCATTTAATCCAGGGGTCATGTGCCACTTAAATTTCCAGAACATTTTGGGGAATTGACATAGGGTTGGCAAGCCCTTTTTTTCCCCAATACAAGAACATGGATAGTTCTTTAAAAATCTAATATTTCTTGTCAACATTATTTTATAAATGAAAGGACATTTTAATTCCTCCCTCTCCCCTAAAAAAGTAGGAAGGATATAATCTGAGAACAAAGAACTCACAACAGTGTCCTTGTTTCTCTTATTTCACTCATTTCCAGCCCATTTGGAAAGGGGCACTCACCCTAAGCCTCATTTTTCTCATCTGTAAAATGGAGTAATAATACACCCACATGCACATGTGCCGGTGGGCCCGGCACGAAGTAGGGGCTGAGGGGCTGGTAGCCGCTACCCTGGTCGTCCCCTGGAGCTGGCTTTCCCCTCACTCAATCTCCCCCTCCTCAATTCCCTTCTCTCCTCTTTTGACCCTCCTAGAGCTGAGAGAGGAAGGGGCCAGAAAGAGCCACTACGTCAGATCTCAAAGGACTTTATTAGAGGTGGAGAGGGGAGCGTTGACACGCACAGGTCATGCCTAGGCGGGAACGACCAAGAGGGAAGAAAACTCACTCTGTCCAGGACAACGGAGACACCCTGGAGAAAGGAGCCTGTTTTCCATCTGGGGCTCTGAATGGAGCTCTCTCCAGCCAGGGAGGGAGGGGGCCCCAGCTGGAGGGCAAGGTCTGAGGGAGAGATTTTACTATCTCCGGAGACAAAAGGACTTTTGTGTGTTATGGTATCTGGGTGGGGTGGGGTGGGGTGGGGAGAGGGGAAATGGCTTATGGGAATGAGAATGAGATTCTACTGGAGAAAGAGAGAAAGAGAGGCAGCGAGAAAGAGAGAGTAGACAAGTAGATGAAAGAGAGAGACCAGGCAGAGAAACAGAGTGAAAGAAAGAGAAACAGGTCCAGAAAGACAGAATTCCTTCAGGCCAACTTTGGTTTTCCACTCTCGGTCCTGAGCGCTCAGGGAGGTGCTCAACAGCCTGGAGGGGATGTCAGAGCCTGAGCTCAAACCGAGATGCCGTGGCAGGTAAGCTGTGCAGCTCTCAGTAAGTCATACCCCTTCACTGAGCCTCAGTGTACCTATCTGTAAAAGGGGACCTGGACCCTGTGGTGGCTCTAGTACCATGCAAATTGGAGGGGGTGTACAGAAGCTAATTTCAATTACTTTTCAAAAGTTTTGACGTGAAATGTTCTCAACTCAGGGAGGAAACTCAGGTCCTCAAAGGCGGCCCAGAAGCTGGTTGGCTCTTACTGAATGAATGAAGGGAGGTTTCAGGCCAAAAGACTGTTTAATAAATCCTTTTCATGGGATGGACAAAGACTTGTGGGCATTAGACCTGGGAGTCACAAAACTGCCGCAGCCACCGCTCCGTCCAGCCCTGGCTCTCTGAGAACTGAGTAAAGATGCAGGCTCTTCCCCAGAGGCCAGAGAAAAGAAAGATGTAACCGAGGAAAGAAGGAGGCAAGAGGTCGTTTTCCTCCGGCACATGCTGGACATTTAGGAACTGGAATCAGGATGGGGAAAAATCCAGATTGGAGGAGTGAGCCAAATTATTCCTTGACCCAGTCTCTGGGGAGGGACCTTTTGGAGGGTGAGACCCAGCCCGAGGCCCGCCGAGCCCAGGGAACATTCAGAACCACTGGAGCCTGTTGGATTTGAGCCCAGAGAAGCACATGTTGCTGTTGCAGCTGCCTTGGTAATTGGGGGGACACGCAGAACACGGGCTCCCCATCTTGTACGGCGCCTCGCCAATCCAGTTGCCCCTGGAAGAGAAAAGGGCGCAGGGAGACAGGGTCGGGGGACAGAGGAGAGACACGTGAACAACCAAATCTCAGCACCACCATCGACTGGCTGTGTGACCTTGGGCGTCACGTCAGGAAGATCCGAGTTCCCATCCTGGATTCTGCCACCTGCCAGCTGGTGACAGAATAAGCCATTTTATTTCTGAGCCTTGATTTTATCCTCTGAGTAAAATAAATAAAAATCGTGTCTGTAAAAAAAATACGTGAAATGGTCTGTGAGAAAACACTGTGACTTTTAAGAGTGCTGTGCAAAACAGAGCTAGATGTGAGGGGATGTGCCCACGAAGCGATATCGTGGCCGCTGCTGTACATTTACTCCTTCAGTGGCCTTATCCCAGATCCATCCTGCCTGCTCTTGAGTTAATCCTCTCAACGGACCAAGGCTGTTTGTGGGGATGGGGGGCAGGGAATGCTTGCTGAATGGTTACAGAGGTTGTGTTGTGGAGATGAAAAAGTTTTGGAAATAGATGGTGATGATGTTTGCACAACACTGTGAATGTAATTAGTGCCATTGAGTTGTACACTTAAAAATGGTTAAAATGGCAAATCTTATGTTACATACATTTTACCGCAATTTTTAAAAATTAAATACTGTAATACACTAAAACCCACTGAATTGTACACTTCAAATGGGTGAATGGTATGGTGTGTGAATTCTATCTCAATAAAGCCGTTTTAAAAAAAAGAAAACCTTCATCACATTCTGCTCAAGAATTTTTAGTGGCTTCCCATTGCCTACGCAGAGATTGGTAAGTTTTTTATGTAAAGGGCCAGATAATAAATATTTTGGGCTTTGAGGGCCAAATGTCTCTATTGCACGAAAGCAGCCATAGGTAATATGAAAACAAATGACATGGCCGTATTTCAATAAAACTTTATTTATAAAAATAGGCAGCAGGCCAGATTTTGGCCGTGGGCCGTAGTTCGCCAACCCCTGGCGTATAGAATCACATCTATGTGTTTTCGGTCAGGCATTCCAGACTGCCCTAGCAGCACGTGGATCCAGCTTACACACATCTTCCCACAGCTTTCTTCTCCATCCCAGCCCACAGATTTCTCTTTGTCTCTCTTTCTCTTCTCAAGGGCTAAAATTACTCCTCCAGCTGTTTCTTGCTCATGGCTGCCTAATAATCTCATGATTGGCCTGTAGCAGTAGTTATCTTTGCAAGTCCCAGAAGCTTATTTTCTCACACTTCAAATGAACACTCTTTGTGGGCAGAAATGGAATATTTTTTCTCCAGAAATGGTTGTTGAATGAATGTGAGTGAAGTCAGCCAAAGGGCTTAGAAAAGTACATAGTTCTGGTTTCATATGGACTCATTCATTCATTAGCACTTCCAGAGCATCTGTGGGACATCAGGATTTGTGCCAGACGCTGTGAGTCCACAACTTTCAAAAGGTGGAAATTTGGGAGCAGGGAGAGTGGGTGGTGGAGACACCCGGGGTGATGGAATCAAACTGGTTCTTTTATTATTTATTTAACCACTTGGAAAAAAATTCTACTGCCTGAAAAAATAAAGCGTTGAAATTACTGTAGTAGAAGGATAAGAAATGAATAAGATCTATTTCCTACCTTCAAAAAGTTTATAACCGAGTTATAATCATGGCCATCACTCACTTAGCATGTACTATGGGCATCTATGTCTCATGATCCTCCGTGAGCCAGGTAGTGTTCGCCTTATTTTAGAAGAGGAGACTGAGGCCCATAGAGGTAAAATGACTTATCCACAGTCCTCAGTGTGCGCATGGTAGGGCTGGGAATCAAACCCAGGTCTGGTAACAATAAGAACCAATATGTATCCTGAAATTGCTACGAGCCTGGGGGCATTACCTGGCTCAGCTCACTTAGTTCTGTCAACAACTCCATGAGTAGGTACTATTTTATTCCCATTTTCTAGATGAAGAAACAGGCATGGAGAACTTAAGTTAAATCTCAAATTCAACCCCTGACAGTCTTGACGCTAGAGCCTAAAAATCTTAACAACTATACTGTTAATACTCAATGCTGCAGAAATTTGATATATCAGCAAACAAATTGGAACAGCCCTTTACGTTGCTTGTAATGGAATTTGGTTTGTTGTATTTTTCCGTGCCTGATAAAGTTGGGCTGCAACACGACACTTTGTTAATAGAGGTCAAGAGCTAATAAATACATGTCTTAGCTTGAGGTTTTGTGTTCCGTCTTCCAATGACTTCCGGAACATCAGGACGGCGTGGAAGACAGAACAGGAGACTTGGCAACAAAAGACGTGTTTCAAACAGCTCTGCTACTTGTTGACTTTGCGACTTTTAGTAAATCGCTTAGCGTCTCTGATCCTCAATTTCTTAATCTGTAAAAAGGGAAAATAACTTTCCCAGTGGCCCTCCCTTTTGCCTTCCTTCTCTCTCTCTCTTTCGTCTCTTCAATGAGGTAATAAGGTGAAAGCATTTTGTAAATGGTCAAGGGCTACGGGAGAGTAAAAGGTGGTTATCATTATGTAAATTTGACTTTCTAAATATCATGTTTACTTAGAATTCGTTCTTGTTTTTGCATAAGAATCTGTAGTGTCTGCAAGTTTGTATACTGTGCGACGGTTGGGAACTGTCACTCCCCTTTCTCCGTGTTTCCAAGAGACTCGTGAATGCAGACCTCGGGCCCTCTCTTCCCGCAGCTGATTGGAGAGTCTGGGAGAAGGAGCTGAGCGGGCTCACTCCATCCTTCCTGCCTTTCCTGTGCGGTCTGCCTGCCCGAGGGGAGCATGTGCTCTTGGCTGCTGTGCGTTTTGCGCTTAGAGAGGCTGGCACCGCACCTGTAGGAAGAGGCCTGTGGTCGTCCAGTGCTGCCTGTCAGTGGGTGTGCAGGTCTGATTCAACAGTGGGATATTTGCAAGCCCTGCTGGCTGGCAGATCTAAGCTGCATTTTGTACTATTGACTTCATCAGGGAGGCTGCCTATCCTCCTGCCTCGGTCCTCTGTCTATCTCCCTAATCAATTCTGAAACATCAGAAACTTCAGAAAAAGGATTATTAACCAACTCTCTAAAACTACCAAATTGTATGGTATTGAGGTTACTTAGAATGGAGGAAAGTAGGGTGTCGTGTGTATCCTCCTTTTCTTTGAATTCTGCCCACTCCACCTCAGGGTCCACCCTCCTGCCCCGGCACCCCCTCTGTCTCGGCCCCGTACTTACTTAATGACGTAGTTGCAGACCAGGTACACCGCGTGGCGCCAAGTGCGGCCCCAGACCTTGATGCTGCCGCACGTGTGGAGGGCACAGCCCAGCCGATTGGAGGAGGCCCACACCATCTGAGAAAGGACCGACAGGGGAGGCTGTGAGAAGAACTCAGTGGGGCCCAGGTTCCTCGGGGCTGGGAGGCTCCTGGGCTTGGTTCAGGGTGGATGCATTAGCTGAGGTCTTCCTGGAGGAGGCAGTCTATATTGCTAACTAATATTTCATCTTATCATGAGTGATATATGCTAATATTTTCTATACCATCCTATCAGATTTCTTTCTCTTTTTTTCCTTAGTGATCAGCATTTGAAAATCATTGTGTTGGAAGTGAAAACACAAACTTTGGAGTTAAACAGCCTAGGATCAGAGTCTCAATGTCACTGGCTGTGTGACTTTGACCAAGTCACTTAACCACTCTGTGCCTTAGTTTCTTCTTTGGTAAAATGGAAGTAATAATATCTCATGGATGTCAGGAAGGACATTTGGTTTAGGTCTCACATTTCCTGGAGGGTCTCAACTTTAGATTTTGACATTACCTCCAAATGAATCACAGAGACACCGACAGGACTGAAAGAAGACATCTGTCATACAATTGGAAGTTTCTGCCTATTTCTTGCAACATTATATTGCATGGTGTTTTTGCGTATAAGTGTTAGCATATTCAATATTAGCACTCAAAATATACTACATTTTTTATAACCTCATTTTGGCATTTATTTTTTTAAGATGGTAGGAGCCTTAGAAAACAGAAAATACTAGAAAACGTTTGGACCTATTGGATTCGAAAGCACTCTTGAACTTGTCAGACCGCACATCTTCATTTTGGGGTCAGACAATCTGGTCAGCCCACCTGCGACGCTCAAAACAAGACCCAGGTCAGTTCAATTCAACAGGCACACGGCCTTCCGGGAACATGCTTATTACGTAAAGGGAAGTCCACAGGAGCCTCTTGTTTTCTTTCTTTCTTTCTTTCTTTTTTTGAGGAAGATTAGCCCTGAGCTAACATCTGCCAATCCTCCTCTTTTTGCTGAGGAAGACTGGCCCTGAGCTAACATCCGTGCCCATCTTCCTCCACTTTATATGTGGGACGCCTACCACAGCATGGCTTGCCAAGCGGTGCCATGTCTGCACCCGGGATCTGAACCTGCGAACCCCAGGCCGCCAAAGCGGAACGTGTGAACTTAACCGCTGTGCCACCGGGCCGGCCCCTCTTGTTTTATTTCTAATTAGTCTTCCACCACATTCTTTTTATTCTAAGGTACCAGGCTTTGTTCTCCCATCGGTCCATAGTCCCAACAAAGGGGTACCTGGGTGTAGTGGGAGCAGACGGGCCCACTGCAGCGCCAGGGGCAGCGCGGGGTACAGTCTTTCGGGGCCGGAAACAAGTAATGGCGCTTCTCTGCAGACCAAGACTTCACGAGGTCTACCACCGAGCGGTACCTGGGGAGGCAGAGGAGACAGAAGATGCTGGGCGGGAGAAGGGAAAGCCACTCTGCTGCCAATTTGCTCAGTGACCTCGTTGAATGACTGAATGACGGAGTGAAGGGAGGATGGAGGGTCGCTCACCGGCCAGAATGGATGGAGAGGTTCTGGCCCACGTATCTCATCAGCTGTGAGGGCCCGTGAGCCCAGATGCACTGGGTGGCCCAGGCCTCGGCAGACCTGGCCAGGCGTTCATCCCAGACCTGGGGAAAGAAAGGTCATGAAATTCCCCAGGGAACAACCACCACCGTCTCAACAGTGTAGAGATGCACATACACATGGCGCCATTACTCCCCCATCTCCTTGGAGCCCTGCCACAGATCTCTTCTGCAAATTAAAAGACCGAGGCTCAGAGAGGCCAAGGTCAACAGCAAGTCCACACCAGAGCCGAGATCGGTACCCAGCTTGTTGACTCCTAGTCTGGTGCTCTTTCCCCCTCACTGGACTTCAAGCCTGGGGCTCTCTGCTCTGAGTGGAGTCCCAGGGTATTTGTCCAGGCGTTCTCAGCAGTCTCTAGAAATGACTGAGTCCTGGGGAGATGGGAAGATGACTGACGTCTTATTTTATTTGTTGTATTTTTTAAATGTGTTTATTTTAACATTAAAAATTTTAATTCAAAATGGTTTTTTTGAATAGTGAAACATGCACAAATTTAATACATAAGCTGTTCAAAAGAGGAAAAGTGGAAAGCCTCTCATTTCTGTCCTCTATTGTCCTTCCAGCCACCCTGCCCCCAGAGGCAGCCATCACTGAGTTTCCTGTGTCCTCTTCCAGAAATACTCTATACTTGGACAAGCATATATATATAGTTTGTACAAGTATACATATGTAGTTTTATATATAATTATATATGATGTATAGAAATACAAATATCAAATAATTATACGTAAGATACATAATTTCTTTTGACAAGTGGCAGCATGCCAGACATTCCATTCTGTACCTCCGCTCTTTTCACTTACAAGACAGGTTATCTTAGTGATTATTCCACATCAGTACACAGAGAATACCCTCCCCATCCTTCTTACTGGCTTCATAATTTTCCAATGTATGAATGCCCCAAGTTTTATAGCCTGAAAATCATCACTTAAAAAAATACTAGTTCCCTTCTCCTCTGACTTCCTGGGACCCTCTGAGATACTATTTGCTCATTCATTTCATTTGTTTATTCAGCAAATGCTGAACAACATTTCTAGGCACCAAGGACTCATGGTCTAACAGGGAAATGAGACCTTAAACAATCACTACAATCCTGGTGGGTGTGAGAATGTGAAACAGGGAACCAGAGCTTTCTTGGGGATATGAGAGAGAAAGGGCTTCTTGAGCAAGGCGTGTTTGCTCAGATTCCTGCCCCGAGGGCAGAAGCCAGCTAGTGAAGAAGAAACGGGGGTCCCAAAGAGAGGTCAGAACACCTCCCCAGGGTCGTCTGACTCACACTCTTTTAGGGAATCCAAGGAATGTTTCCTTCATGCTCCAGAGGGCAAAACTGAGGGAAGGGCCATGCTAACATGAGACCCACACTCACTGACCCTCCCTGGGGTCCCTGGTGAGACATCTAGCTCTCTCTGTTCCATACTACATGCAATAATTAAACACCTGTTGGGATGAGCGCCTTGCACACACAACTGGTGCTTAATAAATGTGTCATTGTTTGAGAAATACAGGGCCTTCCCTGTGCAAGGTGCTGTGTTAAAAAATGAATGAGTCAGTCAATGGACGAATAAAGGCCCTCCCCACGTCCACTGCCTCCATTCCGGTTCCTCCCCCCCGCGCCCCTCCCCCACAACACCTTATCACTACCTGACACTATTCTCTATATTTTGTTGTTGATGTTTGTTTTCTGTCATCCCCACTGAAACATAAGCTCCATGAGGGAGGAGAGCTCGGCCCTCCTGTCCTCGGCTGTGTCCATGAGGCTTAGCGTGGCGCCCGGCTCTGAGCAGGAGCTAGTCCATAAGCAAATGGACCTGTTGCAAGAGGATTTTCAGACTGTTGAGTAGCACGCTCTTGTCTGGAGGGGGTGGACCGGCCGGCAATCTCTTTCCCTAAAGGGATCTGTGGGTGGGCTGGGAGCCTATCTCTCCAGGCTGGTTTGGGACAATAGTCTGAGGGAGGAGCTGTGATGAAGAGAAAGTTTCCCTCCTCCACTCTGGCAGTCTGGCTTCTGGGGGGCTGGGGTGAGAACCCCCGGCCTGTTTCTTTGATGGAAGACATCCCAGCTTCCTCCGCTAGTCAGCTGCCTGTTTTCCTCTGTCTGAGACCCCCAGGTACAGTCCCCACCGCTCCAAACGCTACCTCCACAGGCTTGCTGAGGACTGTCCATCCCGATGTGTCCATCAAACTCCCGGGGCAAAGAGACAATGGCACGGAGAGCTCCAGCCACTCATCCCCTGCAGGTCCCCAGTGGGGAGCCAGAACTGCTGGGCAGCATATTGTGTTGGTTAGGACCACAGCCTTTAGCCGCAGGCAGAGCTGGGCTGGAATCTCAACGGGGTGACCTTGGGCAAATTCATTGTCTGCATCTCAGTTTCTTTATTTGGAAAGTGGAGATGACGATTCCTACCTTGAAGGAAAGAGGAGACCCGCCTAGATGCTCCATAAATAGCAGTCCTCTGCCCCTGCCTCCCAGGAGGACCTACGCAACCACCTTCATTTCCTCATCTGTAAAATGGGCAGACAAATTCCTGCCCTTTCCACAGGGCCCAGACAGACACCCAGATACTGGCTGGTGGGGCCAGGCTGGCGGTGGTCCAGCCCTTCCAGGTCACACTGAGTTGACTGGCATATGCCAGAAGAGGCACCAGGCACTCACCATATACTCCATGTTGGCAGCAGGTGGGTGCACGCTGGCCCGGAGGTGGTTGTGATAATCCAGTAAGGCACTCATGTCCCGGGCAGAGATGTGGCGCTTCCGCCGGTAGCGGGGCACCCCCAGCCCGCTCACGGGCCACACAGCTGTGCCCTCGGTCCGGGCCAGTGCCAGGGTAGCATCGGGCACCAAGGTATTCACTGTCTGGCCCGCCCAGAAGAGCAGGCCTGCCAGGCCAACGGTGCCGGGCAGCAGGGACATAGCTGGCTGGAGAGGTCACGTGTCTACCTCGTGCAGTCAGAGCTGGCTGCCTGGAGGGGGTGGGCATGTGGGCACCAAACCCTGAGTGTTTTCCAGCATTGCCGCCCCAGGGGATGCTAACCCTGGGAACTTGGCACAGACCTCCTGACTCAGCTCTGGTCCAGGTGCCCGACACCCCATCCTCCCCACCTCAGTGGACTGAGTGGATTGGGCAGCCCAGACAGTGGCTAAGCCGGACCAGACCCTGGAGTGAGACGGTGCTATCGGGTCAAAGCCAGGACTCCATCCCGCCAGCCCCGGAGACAGACACCAGGCCTCTCCCGCCTGGACACCCTCTTTACCGATCCTGCTCCAAGCGGGCTCCGTCCACCCTCTCAGCGGGGCAGGGCCGACCTTCCCCAAGGCATCGAGCGGGGGAAAGAACCAGAGGGCAGAGAGTGAAAGATTCAGAGAAAAAGAGGCAGAGAGAAAGAAAAACGAGAAACTGAGAAAAAGAAAATGAGAGAGACTAAAAAACTGACTGAAAAAAAGAGATACAGAGAGAAGGAATGAAAGACATAGACAGTAGGAAGCTGTAAGAGAGACTGAGAGACAATGATGGGGGAAAAAAGAGGAAGCACATGGGAGAGACAGAAACAGCGGTAGAGAGAGAAAGACAAAGAAAAAAAAAGAACAGAGAAGACGGAGAGAGAAATAGAGCTGAAGAGAAGAGGCAGAGAGAGGCGTGCGGGGGACCAGGCAGCAGGCTCCCGGGGGTTGCGTACCCAGGACGGGCAGCCCAGACGGGTGGCAGGAGGTGGCTGAGGAGGCAGGGACCTCTGCAGACACCCCGGCCTGCCTGGCAGTGCGGTGATTTTAACGGTCCCTTGGGAGCTGATGGCATCTGACGTCCCGGCCCCACAGCCCCCTCCCCTTCCAGCCAGGCCCAGCATGGACCGGAGGCTCCGCCTGCCTGTCTGTGGGCTCGCCTCTCCCCCCCTCTCACCGCGCCTCTGCTGTTCCTGCGTCCACCTGGAGTGCGCAGGGTTGGGCTGGGCTGCTGGTCAGGGTAGGGATGCAGCAATGGCAGGCACTCCAGGATGAAACACCACCCCCTTGTCAGGAGACCCCAGATCCAGAGGCTTCTCTCTGCCTTCCAGACCCCAACATATTAAAGCCACCTTTCATCTGAAGATTATTTTCTGACTGTTTTCTCTACAAAGCTCTCCAGCCTCAGAGCAGGCAGTTAATATGGCCCCATTTAATGAGGCCTACTACGTGCCAGGCCCAGGCTGAGTGCTTTACACACACACAAGCTCAGCCAACCCTCAGAATCAGATGTGATAGGTCCCCATTTTATAGGTGAAGAGACCGAGCCCCAAAGAGGTGCAGGAATAAGCCCAAAGTCAGCCAGCCTGTCTGCAATAGAGCCAGGATCCGCACCCAGGTCTGAGCCCAGGGCCCTGTGAGTATGTAAAAAGGATGCCATTTTTGTAACCAAACCAATCTAGATGCACAGGAAAAAAGCCCGGGAGGATATCCACAATCAACGCCGTGTAGCCTAATTAGTAATTAAACCTGTGAATCTGGGCTCAAATCCCCATTATTTCACTCACTGAGTGCCCTTGAGCAAGTCACCCAATCATTTCGTGCCTCATCTATAAAATGGGAGTAATAATGGCACCCACCTTACAGCATTGTTTTAAGGATTAGATGAACTCACATCTGTGGACCGCTTAGAACAGTGTATGCTTTGTGTGTGCGTGTGTGCTTGTTTGTATACATGTACTTGAGTGAGTATGTGTGTGTTTATATGTATTGTGTGTGTAAGCAGATGGGTTCATGTATGTGCATATGAGGGTTCGTGTGTCAATCCTCACGTATGTGTATAGATGCATGCATGAACACGCAGATGTTTGTGTGTGTGTGTGTGCTGTCAAAGCCCAGTTGGTCTCTGAGTTGCTGAACTTCTGGGTTAAGAAAGAGTTTAATTTCCTCCTCTCTGATTACTTGTATTCTCCGCAAATAACAAGCAATACTTTTCTCATGGGAGGAGGCAGACTTACAAGAAAGGTGTTACAAAAAAAACCCAAAGTTGAAGCGTTTGCAACCCTCCAGCCTCCTCTTCCAGCGACCTCCAAGCATCCCCAGGCAGCAGCCAGTCTCAGGGCGCCAAGCTGAGCCCTGGCCCAAGTGGCAATGCAGGGCTGGGGGCTGGAACTGGGCTACCGGAGTGGGGTCCTCCCCAGACACATGGAATTCCCGCCCCAGGCGGCCGCCCTGCCTCAGCCTCCGCGGCCCAGACAGTGCTGCTGCCAAAGCACACACCTTCCCGCTGGAGCGGCTTTCCCCAGCCCAGGCGGCTGACCGCGGGATGCTGGGGCTGGGGGGGGGGGGGGGGAGGGGGAGGTGGGCAGCAAGGGATGGAGGCTGGCGTCCCCAACCTCTACAGGGCTTTCCCATTACACCAGAGGGACAATAGGGAGGGGCTCCAATCTAGCCCCATCTCTGCCTCCAGTATGCTGGGTGTCCTGGGGCAAGTCCCTATCCTTCTCTGGGCCTTGGACGCCCCATTAGAGAAACTGGACTAAGGACTCTTCTGCCTACGGCTGGGCTGGGATCCACGACACACCTGGGGGAACTCTGCAGCCCAGGGGAGGCAGACACAAACAACCGTGGCACTTAGGAACCCAGGAGTGTCAACAATTATGCCCTGCTCTCTCAGATGCTTGACGCGAACTTCTCCCATGTAACCCGGCACTGGCGTGGTTCAGAGCATCGCACCCATGACTCACTGGTCCTCACAGCCGCCTTTGAGGGAGTAACCCCAGCCACTGCACAGACGGGGACCTGGAGGTACAAGGAGCCTCAGTGACTTGTCCTATGACATGGAGCTTGTTTGTGTGGTACCTGGGGTTCTGGCAGTGGACATCCTCGCACATATACAGAATGCACACGCATCCTGGGTGCACACACCACACTTACATTCACACAAGCATTTCTTCCTCCCACAAATCACAGAGACAGCTCGTTCCCCCAGCCCCTCAGATCCTTCCTACTTACACCCTCTGGTGCCCTTACGTGAATATCCAGAAACCCACTCTTCACACGTCTAACCATATTAACACGTATAAACGTAAGTATCTGTTCTCAGCACAGCACTGCTCAAAGCACTTTACACGGACGAGCTCATTAATCTTCAAAACAACCCTATTATTATCATCATATCCATTTTTGTATATATGAGGCACAGAGAGGTAAGTCATTTGCCTAGGGTCACACAGCCAGTGGGTGGCAGAGGTGGGATGAGCACCTGGGCAGGCTAGTTATGCTGCCTCTCCACAGAGACAAAGAGATAGACACGGAGAAAGGCACAGCCCCCAAGTCCAGCCGCGCAGACAAAATCACCCCCTCCTACCCCACACGTTCACACATCCACAGAAACCCAGATATTGCACTGGTGACAAGCACACAGCGATGCCCCAGGCCAACCCCCGAGTGGGAGTTTCTCTGCTGTCCTCCGTGACTAGCCCTGTTCCCAGTTCCCTTTGGCAGGTTCCTAAGTGGATAAAAATGTTGGGAGGACAGGAAATAATCCCCAGTAGCCCAGATTAGTGCCCGGGGCTGGGTTCTCACTTTAGGGTAGGGACACTTTCTCACCCCCGAATTTCATCCCTCTGGATTCAGCTGTCGCTCTATTCTCATCCCTACCAGAATTCTCTCTGGGTGAGCAAAAGGGAAATTATTCTGGAGAGTAGAAATATTCAAGTCAGTGTAGCTCAGTGGCTATAGCTCTGGATCCAGACAGCCTAGGTTCGGGGCCACCTCCACGGCTTACTAGCTGTGTGACAGTGGGCAAGTTAATTAACCTTTCTGTGCCTCAGCTTCCTCATCTATAAACTGGGGCTACCTCACGGCATTGTTGTGAGGACTAAATGAGTTAGTACATGTTAGACACTTACAATGTCTGGCACAGGGCAAGCAGTCAATAATGTTAGCTGTAATAATCGCTCACAAGAATAATAATAACAGGCAACATTTCTTTAGCATATCCATTTAGTGCCAGACACCAAATGCTTTATGGACAAGATCTCATTTAAGCCTTGCTCCAGATCCAGGGGTCAGGTATCAGGATCCCCATTCTACAGACGAGGAAGTAGAAACTCAGAGAGGTTAAGCAACTTGCCCAAGTTCACAGAGCTAGTCCCGGTGCAAATTGGATTCCAGCAGGTCTCTCTGATTCTCATCCCAGTGTTCTTTTCGCCCAGTAAAGTTGCTTTTAAGAAGAGACTGTGAGACAGGAGCCTGGTGCTTGAGAGATGAGACGGAGAAAGCTGGAAGGCCCTCAGAGATCTTTTAGGTCATCCTTTCATTTGCCAGTTGAGGAAACAGGTTCAGAGAGGTTAAGGGACTTGTCCAAGGTCACACAGCAACTGGAAAAACAGTCCTATGTCACTATGCGACCCAATCTATGTCACTTCAAATCCAAGCACAAAGAGGGAAGGAGCTGGAAAGAGGGAGCTGGAGGGAAGGGAGCACATATGAAAAATAACAGCGGTGATCCAGACTCTTGAAAACTCTTCCCGTCAAATGCTCCAGGTTCTTCCAAAAGACAAACTGTAAGAAAATGAAAGGGATGGAGGGAGAATCAACAGACTTGGAAGATTTTTTCTACGGACAAGACTAAACTCTGCTGTTTAAGGATGTGCACTTGGGCGATAAAACTATAAAGAAACATCCAGAAACACTTTAAAGTCAGGCTGTGATTGGGGTGGGACATTTGAGGGGCTGCTATTTTTTAATCTGACCGGTGGTTACAAGGGGTTCACCTCATTGGGTTCCACATTTATTTTGTGTGACTGTGTATTTGTGCTTTATTTTATAATAAAAAGGATTAAAAAAATAACAGTGGTAGTGATTTATCCAGTGACACCTTCCATCTGTTACCGCCTTAACCACACATGAGGATCTTCATCTTCTTTGAACAGTTGAGGACACGAAGGTTCAAACAGGAAGCCAGCGTGCCGACAGTCACACAGCAAATAAGTCTGGGAGCCAGGCCTCGCCCCCTGTGGCTTGGTGTGTCTCCACAGCACAGCGGTGGCTGGGCTGTCTGAGCTGCCGATGGTAGTTCCTGATCCAGCAAGGGGAGATTCAGGACAGATTCAGAGAAACCAGCTCCTCCGAAAACAAAGCCCACCCAGACGCACCTGTGGGCTCCCCAGTCTGACCCCCGCTCTCTCGGGCCCCAGAGAGCAGCGTCCACTCTCTGGCAGGTCATCCAGGGGGAGGCAGGATGGTCCAACAGCAGGCAAGGACCAGAGCCGTGGAGTCAGACAGCTCGGGAGGACCCGATGCAGGTCACAAGTCTTCTCTGAGCCTCACTTCCCTCATCTGTAAAACAGGAACGATGTCCATAGGTGCTACCTTATCTGGCTACTACGAGACATTCAGTGAGATATGGAAAGTGTTAGCCCGCAAAGCAAGGTTTATTCAGCGTCAGCTATTAACCCCCCCAAACAGAAACACTGTGTGATTCCACTGACAAGATGCTCAAGAACAGGCAAAACTAACGAGGGTGGTGCAAGCCAGAACCAGGGCTCCTTTGGGGGTACCGACTGAGAAGGCACCAGGGAGCTCCTACTGAGGGTGCACATCTGCCTTATATGTTGATCTGGGTGGTGATTACGTGGGGGTACACGTGAAAATTCATCTAGTTGTACACTTAAGACTTCAGCATTTAACACTGTTAAACCTTAATAAAAAATTTAGACTAATATAGGGTTTAAAAAAAATCTTTGCTTGAGTTCTGTCAACAAGTATAGAATTAAAATCCTACATAAGAAAAAACACACACACCAACAGAAATACTCCCTTCTTATCTCCCCAAGACATATTTCCTACCCAGTACACATAAGTACTCTCCCC